CGTAAGCCAGTACTTTCAGAATTTCTTGGCCACGATCGGGACAACTCATGTCCGGTCGTCTGTCGCTTACCCGCAGGGAAATGGACAAGTGGAAAATGCTAACCGGACGATACTGGAAGGTCTGAAAAAGAAGTTACACTCGGCCGGTCGTAGTTGGGCCGATGAGTTGCCATATGTCTTATGGACTTATCGGACGACCCCGAGGGAAGCTACTTTGGAGACCCCTTTCGCCCTGGTCTACGGAGCCGAAGCCCGACTCCCGATCGAGGCTTGGATCCCGAACGATCGAGAGAGAACCTACAACGCGGAGGACAATGAACATGCCATGGCTGTGGATCTCGATGCGGTCGAAGAAAAAAGAGAGCTAGCCGCTCGGCGTATGGCCGAGTACCAGAAGCGCGTCAAGAGCTCGAAGGACGTTCAGGTTAACCCTCGTTATTTTCAAGTCGGAGATTATGTCTTACGACGAAGGGAGGCCAGTCAACCTTTAGAAGGGGGAAAGCTAGCTCAGAACTGGGAAGGGCCGTACATCATCAACGCCGTCATCCGGCCGGGAACATACCGACTAGAGACAACGACGGGTCGGCTAATAGAGGGGACTTGGAATTCCGAGCACCTCGTTCTTTTTAGGCATTAGCCTATCTTTTGTATTTTTAGACGAAGTGGGGGCTGGACCTGCGAGTTAGTCCCGGTCGTCGTTTCTATGTAAATTTATGGTTGTAAAATTAGTTCAACCGCCTGCGAGCGGGAAAGTTTAATGTATATACGATCGATGATTGCTCGACCGTTTGTATGCGCCGGCACGATCGGTTATTTTCTTTCACCTTCGTCATAAGCAGATCAGTTCAACATTCAATCGACCGGGTGAAGACTGTCGACCGGTCAAAACGCGCTCCACATAGGCGGACACTCAAGTCACGCCACCGATCGGGGAAGCCAGGAGCTCTCAGTATTATTGGCGCTAGAAGGAGGGCCTGAACCTCCGTCCAACTTCTGTCCACTATCGCACCCACTCGTGCCTCGAGCGCACAATAGTGTGGGGGCTGGGATAAGGAAGTAAGGTACAAGGCCCGTCGCTCGGTTACATTCCGACCGTAGAGGCTTGCTTGTTCTCGGCCCGTCGCTCGGTTACATTCCGACCGTAGAGGCTTGAAAATTTTTCGACAAAGGCCCGGAGATCGGGTAAACCTGATCGGTTGGCCAGTTTTGAAGTCGAAACATCGAACGCACGACCAGGCCATAAGGTCGTAAGATCGGGCGTTGAGCGGATCGAGTGTCGCGAGACCGGGTCTAAAGGCCAAGTGGTCGAGTGATTATGATCAGTGTGCGAAAAATGAAAAGCAAGAAGATAAAAGACGAACGACGCAAATTAGAGCAAAAATAGATATTATTAATCAACAAAAGGTGCCCGGTACAATTCGGGACCGGGCTCCCGACTAAGGTCTCTTACAAAAAGAAGAAAATAAGCCTAAATCTACTTCTTCGCCTCTTGAGCACTGGCGGTCGCCTCTTTCCCGCTCGAGGCAGCCGCCGACGAAGCCCCAGGCTCGGTTGCCTTGGCTTTCGGGGTCGGGGTAAAGGGTGAGGGACCGGGATCTGCCACGTCCGGGGGTAAGGCCGACAAGACCAGTTGGAGATCATCGGCGTCGAGGGCCTCCTCCAACCGCTTGCGGGTGCGTTCAAGCATTTTTTGCTTCCCGGCCGTAAAGGCCCATTTCCCGAACGAGACGATCAACTCGTTCCCGACCTCGTCTCCTCGGGCTGCTATTAGGAAGGCCGTGCCCAGCTCCTTGTCCTTGAAGGCTGCCCGCACCAGCTCGCTCGGGTTCTCGAGCTGGGCCTTTAGCTCCTTGGCCTCTCCTACCGCCCGGCTGGCGACCTTCTCGGCGAGAACCCGGTCCTCGTCGCTCTTCTTCAAAGCCTTCTGGGTTTTCTCCAGTTCGGCTTGGAGCTCCTTGATCTCCTTCAAGCGACGGGCGGCCGTCTTCTTGTGGTGATCAGCTTCCTCGGCCAGTATAGCCCGACCTTGCAGGAGCTGAGCGGCCCGGGAAATCTGCGAAGATAAAAGACACTCGGGGTTAGCCCGATCAGCAACGCTTCAACAAAAAAGCTGTTGGTTAAGAAGAGCTTACCTCGGCCAGGTCGTGGCCGATCCGTTCAGCCACTTGGGTTGGGGTCATCGTCCCCAGATCCTCCTTGACCGGCGCGGCGTTGCAGATCCGGGCCAGTATGGACGAGGAGTCCCTTTTTCGCCCGACCGAAGGGCTCGGGCTGTGCTGATCACGGCGGCGCTTCATGCCGCCTACCTCGGTCACTCCCCGCTCGGGGACCTTCTCCTTTCCCCGGGCGACCTCCACCCGAGTGATCAGAACGTCGGAGGGCTCGACGATGAAGCCCTCGCCCGTCGTCACGGTCGAGGCGCTCAGTGGTCGGCCGGAGGAGATCTCCTTCTCCCCGGATGGTTTGGTCTTCGCCTTCTTCTTGCCGCCAAGAGAGATCTTGGCGGGCGGGGGAAGGGGGGCATCCTCATCACCGAACTCGGCCATTGCTGCAAACAAACAAAGAAGAAAACCCAAGTTAGTGCGAGCGTAATATAGAGTTCAGGTCGGGATAAACGGCTCGGGTTAAACCTTTCTTCCTTCGCCTCGAGGGCTTGGCGACCGTTACGCCCATCGGCACGGGCAGGTACTTCTCCCTTAGCTCATAGGTCGGGGGCGGAAGCTGGGCTGCTTCCAGACTGTCAGCCGTCCGGAAGATGGTGTACTCATGAATCTCGCTCGAGATCCGAGCAACCGTTTCCTTGAGCGCCTGAGTCTCGTCCGGCACCACTTGTTTCCGAAAATGTGTGCTCCAGACGCGATCGACCGGGAAGATCCAGGGCTCGTACTTAAGGGAGAAAATCCTGTTTTTCCACCCCTTGTTGTTCCCGGGCAAGCCTCTGATCGAGCACATATCTGCTCGGGATTGCAGCATCAGGAACCCACCCCCGTAGCGGCCCGGGAGAACCTTGATCTGGTAGATGAAGTTAAACAACTCCATCGTGCACTCGGCCTCGTGCCGAGCGCATATCTGTGGGAAGCAGGCCAGGATCCGATGTGCGTTCGGGCAGATCTGGGCCGGGACGACCCGGTAATAGGCCAAGAAGGCGTTCAGGAGGGGGGTGAAGGGAATGGCGATCGGGGCCATCAGGGAGTCGTAGTGCATCCCGATCCACTTGCCCCGATGCCTCTCAATCACGTTTCCCAGCTGCCGGCTCGTGTCGAATTCTGCCCGACCCCGGAGTATTTCAGCAATCCGAGCCGCCTCGCCTTTGGACAGCAAGCTCATTTCTTGCTCGACGCTCTCGCTGTTCAAGAACTCAAGCTCGACGGCTGGTGTGGCCGGCCCGGCCGGGTCTCCTTCGGTCTGCTCGGGGGTATTTTCTCGATCACCCCCTCGAGGAGCAGCCTCCGGGTGGTCCCCAACCACCCGGGTAGGCGTTTCCCTAACGCCCTTGGTTGGAGAACCCCGCCCGCTTGACGTGGTCCTCTCTTCCTCTTCTTCGCTGGAGCTCCCCGATCCGCTCGAACTCGAGCTTGACGATCCAGAGGAGCTTGATGCATTGTCTCGCTCGGCGGCTTGCTCGGGGGCTGGCGTCGCTCGGGGACTGGCGTCCGGGGTGTAGGACATAATGTCCACCTCCTCGTCGCTGATGTGCTCGACCTCCTCGTCGTAATCAGCAATCGAGGCGTTTTGACTGTCTGAGTCCGTCATATCGATCTACCTAAAGGTCGGTCGGGGTTAGTAAGGGACTTGAAGTACCCGGGACTGTTAGTCGACCTAAGCAGTTCTACCTAAGCTAAAAGCATAAAGAAAAGAGAAGGACGAAGAGCTTACCGAGTGGAGGGACTTTGAAAAGGACTTGAAGCTTCGCTTTGCTCGACCTGAGTGCTGATCTGTTGCTCGGGGCTCTCTGAGGCTACCGACTGAAGCAGAAGAGTGAGGAAAGTTCAAATGAGGGCCCCAAAGGCCTATTTATAGGAGAGCATTTAGGCGGGAAACTCATCCACTTGCGTGACACGACCCGCGCTGACTCCGAGGCGCCGGTTGCAGTCGCAGAGGCCGGCAGTGGCCGGCACGTGGCGAGGAAGGGAATGACAGCTGGCCGGTCGGTTTAGGAGCCGACGGTTGGACTTCTACATCCCGTCCCGTTTTTTCCCGGACGATCAAAAAGGCCCGGGTTGGGGGGCTCTTGGTAGGGAATATCCCGACCGACATAGCTTCACCACGACCGAGATGCCTTTGGCCTTTTGTCTATGTCTTTGCAGGTAACAGGTCGGGCTCCTTGAGGAGAACCCGGTCGGGGACCGACCGGGAGTTGCCCGAGCGATGCTATGAACCCCGAGCGGTGGTCCTTAGGCGAGAGAGCTGGCTAAAGACACGTGGCGGCTTTCTACGACGACAGGCAGGGCACCCGGGAGGAGGACACGTGGAGGCTACGTGGAGAGCATGCCGAACGGCCGGAAGCTTGTCTCCGGCGTCACGGTTATAAATACCCACAGTAGCTACAGTGTAGAGGACTTTTGGACGATCGATAGGTTGTAACTAGAGACTCCCGACCGCAGTCAGTCGGTACTCAGAGCAACCAAGTAGATTGTACTTAGGAACTCTACCTTGATCAATAAAGACTTTACCTGCTTTAATTGGTCTTGTGGTATTTATATTGCTTACGTAGAATTAGCAGTATCAATATGATTATATAATATATAGTTATTTTATTTTTTAAATGTTGTGCTTTTTTTTTTTATATAATAAAAGATGTTGTTGCATTAATTGTAACATTAAATATTTCCCAAACCATATAGCTTTATTATATAAAGGATATTATTATTATTATTATTATTATTATTATTATTATTATTATTATTATTATTATTATTAAATTAATTAAATTAAATGTTTACCCACTAGCCACTAGTCGGCCGCAACCCATTTTAAAAGCAAATACCTACCCATTTTTCTTTCTTTGCACCAAATCATCCCAAGAAAAAGAGGCAAGAAATCAGGGCGAAGCAAACAAAGAGAAGAAGAGGATGAAGATCTGGTGATTAGAGGTGGCAGGAAGGATTAAGATGGCTCAAGTTAGTCTATTCCGTTTTTGTTGTAGTTTTTTTTTTTTTTAACCCGGATAATGATGACTCCGTTGCGGTGACTGGCGTGAAGATTTGGTGATTGGATATGGCAGGAAGGAATACAAGGATTAAGATGGCTCAGGTTAGTTTATTCCATTTTTGTTGTTGTTGTTGTTGTTTTTTTTTTTTTTTTTTAATTTTATTTTTAACTCGGATGATATGTTTCCGGCGTGAGGCACTGAGCAGCAGTGACCGGCGTGAAGGACAGTAGATGGAGAAGGCGTGGATGGTGGGTGGAGAAAGCCTGGGAAAACAGAGATGAACCAGAGGTGGATGAGAGTTTGATGTTAGATGAAGGAGAGAGTTTGATGTTAGGGATGATGAATTACAAGGATAAATGAGTAGATTTGTAATTAATTCCAACCAGCTGAAGAACAAACGCTATCCTCACCAGCGTTTCAGTTTTTAGCTGATTGGCTCAATCAGCCAATGTCAATCGATTATTTACCTAACACTCCAAAACAGCTTATTGATAAGTCAAACAGCTAAATTTGGTCCAATCAGTTAATTTTTGGCTGATCAGCCGGTAACCAAACACCCCCATATTTTGCAAGTCCAATTCCCTGCTTGCTGCCTACATTCAAACAATCTCACCCTAATTTGTTTTCTCAAATTCTCAAGGCAGTTCAACAAATGATTTTTCCTAGCATTCAAAATCATAGCATTAAAACTCTAACAAATGTTATTCACAAGCATATATCACTCTTACATGAATCTGAGAAATGAGACCTTGACCACTGAACAGAATATTTGTCAGCCAACCATTCACGATTTAATTTGCTTGATATCACCAAGTTAATCAAGAAAATTAAATTAGTGATCCCTATTAGTCACTACAAATTAAATTAGTGCGTCGGGGAGGATGCAAATTGTCATCCCTATTTATTGGTATTTAATGGAATTCATACATCCTTCAAGTCTTTGGTATAAGTTATTACATTCTTTGTATGTTGCTATCAGTTTAATAGATTATCATATACTTATAAAAAAAAAAATTTCAACATAAAGTTACTATCTTTTATTTCCAGTGAATTAAAGTAAATGACTCACCAGGCTACTACACATTTTTTCTAATTTTACATTTTTGGGAGTGTCAAAGTGAATATTTCTAAGTGAAACCAATATATATATATACAATATAATAATTAAGTTTGTAGTATATCATTTGAGATATTTGTTTAGCTTAATTTGTGGAGTTAATGTTATGAATTTTTGGAGTTAATGTTATGCATTTATAAGAATAGCTCATGGTTTTCAATATATTAACTATTGAACCGTTCATAATGTTCAATAGTAGTATTAGTAATATATTCATGAAAATGTAGAGACAAACCATTGGACATTTGCATTGTTTAAGTCGTCTGGATTAGAAATATTAGACCTATTTGTCAACTAAGTTTATAAATTTTAATTGTATAAATCGGAATCAAGCAAGGATAACATCAGAAAGCATAATCTATCCAATTCATTTCATCAATTACACTATATAATGTTTGTTGTTATAATTTATATATATAATTATATATCGATCTAAATATTCTTAAAATGTTATAACAAATCCATTTTGAGTAAGGCACGGATGAAAATACTAGTACTACTAATGATAATATAACAAGCTTAGCAGTGCTCTCTCTTACTCATCGAAAAAACAAAGCACTCAAACACTTGATCAAAGGGAATGGAAGCTAGAAGACGCGTGAGATTAGGGTCAGAGATACAGGGGTTTCCTTTAAGAGAGATGAGTCATTGTGATGTACTCTTCCATTCTTCCAAAAGCTAGGTTGAAACCCAACCCTAAGAACTCCACACGTGATGTATTCAATTTCCTCCCAGACTCATTCATAATCTACCGTCTCGTGGATCGGAGTGCACGAACCCCAACCCTTGAGGCGAAGGCATTGCCTTTTGCAATCTGGGTTGACTGTTAACTTTGAGTGTAATTGAGCAGTTATATATACCTCAACATTTATCAATAATGACTTCGGAAAAAAGAGCAAAAAAAGATTTAGATATTTGAGAAGTATCACATAATACTACATATCTTCCATTTATATTTAACGAGTGTTAATTATGAATGAAAAGCAAATCGTTTATCTAGTCTTTTATGTGACATAAATATGTGGATTTTCCCAGCCTATACTTCTTCACACGCATTATATGCATTGATTAAACATTGTTCACATCATTACTTTTGGATGTGTAGTAATCTTTACTTTAATTTCAGTTAAACAAGATTATGATTGTGTTTAAATCTTCATTATGACAATCAATGATGGGTTTGTTATGAGATAGAGAGGTGATCGTTAAGAGCAAAATGTGTTAGTTTTCCTGCAATCTTTGGGGTAATGAAACTGCGAAATCCATGAATTAAGTGTTAGATCTAAAATAGTCTAACTATATGAACCATAGTATACGAGAAACCTAACCTAGTATAATAGCGGAAGCGTGGCCGTCTTGATCTTCAGCCATAGTTGATGTTCCTGTTGTGTTGCCTCTTAACGGTAGACCGCCAGCCATGTTTTGTCTCAGACCTGACTTAGAACCCTAGATGGTGTATTGGTATCTACTGAGCAGTCTGAGTACCGTAACTGAATGTGCTATCTAATCCATAATCTTGTATCCCATCAATCCAGGTTTATATTAGGCACAGAGTTTGGTTGACTAACAACTACTAGTTATTAAGTCCAACCAGACCACTTAATAAGCCTAGTCAACTTGCACCACTTAATTAAGGCCCTAATATATAATATATATTATTAGGGAAAATCTTACATTCTCCCACTTGGTGCAAGTACTAGCACAACCATCATTAAAGAACAAAACACACGAATCATAGTGATACGTCCTCTATTTAATCAGAGTAGTATCCATTATGGTCACATGCATTTTAATTCTCCAACTTAGGTCCTTAATGAACAAACCCTATGTTTATTCTCGGTACCTTAAGGGATGTTTCTCAAAATACATTATGTGCACAACTGAATGAGAAAACGCATCCAAATTGTACAAAAGAGTACACTGTATGATCTCTAAAACTTTATAAGCATGCCTTAAGTAGAGATCTCTTAATGTTAGCATAGTGTTAACTATATTCCATTACTTCTTTATAAGTTAACTTTAAGTACTATCTCTAACAGCTAAAACCTTGGAGTTGACACGTCTGTCACTCCCACTCATCAAAAATAGCCAAAAGATAGTCAAGTCACAGAAGCATTCCAAAAACTTAGACAATAAACCAAAGGTCTAAATCCATAAATTTGGAATCTTAAACATACACCATAACTTCCCAAATAACTTCAATGTTCACTTTAAATGAACTGAACATAATGAGTCTTACTTATATGTCCCACAAAATTGTTTTGAGCCTTACAACCGAAATGGTCCAGGATCAATTTTGAAGAAACTAAAGACTCTATTAATCACTGAAGAATTTATTAAATGTCAGTGCACCACAAATTAAATGTTTTTGTTCTAATAAATTCCTTGGTTACAACATTTTCATAAATATGTTGCACAGCCAAATGTTCAATAATTTGAACTTATGAATTTATATGAATAAATACAAGATTAATACTTGTGGAATCTTTTGGACTTATTGTTTAACATACAACCCAATTTGGAATGTATGAATACAATAGTTAAATCCTAAAACTTTAGTGGAGTATCTTAATGATCTTTTGCTAAATGATCACTCTCACTGATTAAAACATTCTTCAGCGAAATTAATAAAGTGAACTTAATAATAGACATACTCATAATTGATTTATTGACCAACTAACAAATGAAGACATAATTCCCCACCATTAGTTGGACATACTAAATAATCAATTTTTGGTTCCAATTAAAGTCCAACTAAATAATGAAAATATATTTCCCCACCATAGTTGGACATACTAAAAAAAGAAAATACATCTTTCAAAACCAAGGTAGAACTTGGCTCAAAAGATACATTTTAACATTATTGGAATCCAAGAGGTGTGTCAAATCACGTAACTTACTACAGTTAGTCCGAAGAACCGAACAAGATTCGTGGATTAATTAATAGAAGTGGCTAAATTTTGGGAAGTGACTGAAAACATGTTTTGCCAATGCAAATCATGAAACTTAGAATTATAATTGAACTAAATTTATAAATTCTAATAATTGTGATAAAATTATTATCTAATGGGTTGAGGGATTTATTGACATAAAACTTGCCTATGGGCTAAAGTTTTAATTCTATTAAATCCAATTAAGAAACCCTTATGATAATATTTTTCACAATTACTAAAGAGCCAGAAGAATCTAGTGACATAAAACTTGCCTGTGGGCTAAAGTTTTACTCAATTAGATCCAACTGAAAAAATTTATTTATGATGAAACCATTATCAAATGAGTTGAAGAATCAAATGACATAAAACTTGCCTGTAGGCTAAAGTTTTATTCAATAAGATTCATTGCTATCATTATGATAAAAAACTTAAGAGATCGTGTTCCTTTTCTTAATCCCTGTGGGCAAATTAAGAAATATGATCTAAAGTTTACATCATAAAACTAAACTTCATGATAGAATTGAAAATTATTTACAAATAACCATAAAGTAAATAAATTGATTTATTTCTATCGTCACTGATAAAACTACTAAACTACATTCCGATACATAATTGCCTGTGGGCTAAATTATGATCGTAGTCCAGTATTTCATCCTGATTAATTATACAAATATAACGAAATTGCCTGTGGGCTAAATTTCATCATATTACATACAATTAATCACAAATGATATGTCCAAAACTTTATGTGATCAAAATAAACCGCTTAATATATAATTTTAACAGATTAAGGATGCTGTGGCTACTCCAAAACCAAATTAAAATTATAAGATCACTAGACAATCATCAAATCCTTGCCTAAACTTTATGTGATTAAAACTTAATAATCTTAGGTAGCTGAATATGCTGTAGCTATTCCTTAATTAACCAAGATTGAAAACTTAAGAGACTTCAGTAAATTAAAGATGTTTTGGCTATTCTTTAACGAACCGAAATCAAATCACATTGGCAAGGAATGTTTAAAATTTTGACAAACAGATTATACCAGATTGTGATGGGAAAATCTAAATATACTCCAAGGAAAGGCGGTTAGAGACTAAGTCTCACTGAAAACCAATTCCTTAAATAGAGTGTCAATTTAAGGAGACTAGTGGCTCAAGATGTTCTTAACTCATGGCCATTAAAACTAGTATGTCTCCCCGATTCAAATATACTTAATGTATAACTGTTTGGGGGTATGAACCTAAAACTGTAGGGTATACACCAGAAAACTGTAGGGTTCACCTATAATTAAAGCTTAAATGGTGAACTAAAAATAGCGGACTAAACGTGCTTAAATTCAGGCACTACCGCGACTAAAGTTTATGCGTAAGTCCAACTTAAATAGGAACTAATATAATTCCATCTCAAAGTATGCATTGCTAAAGGCATAATAAAATTGCATAATTTAAAACATAATATTATGCTTAGGACGGATATGCAAAAAATTAAACATTAAACTCATATATTCCAAATAAATTGCATAACTTAAAGCAATTTACAATATGAGATTTTAAAGTATAAATTTACTATTCAAACACCAATGAGTCCAAACCAAAAGAGACCCAACATTTTGAATAATAATGTACTGAATATATACTTTAAAATTTTTTTAAACTGTAAGCCCATGGGAAAATGTTTTAATGCATAAATATCAAATTTATGAGAAATAACTGAATTTACAAATTCAAACAATATCAAACCAAAAGGATATGCTAGCATTTGTAAATTAAAATCTCATAAACTCTAATTACATAATTAAACTTAGTGTAAATTTCAATTTTGGTCCACTGACTATTGTACTTGTGTTAATTGCAACACTTGACTTTCAAAAATGTTAATTTAGTACCTTGACTATGCAATTCTTATCAATTTTGGTTATGCCGGTCATTTACGGGTCAAATGTGACCGAAAAAACTTAAACTTTTTTTTAAAAAAATTATTCATGGGGCAAAATGGTCATTTTAAATTTTAAAAAAAATAAAAAGTTATTTGCAGCTTCTTCTTCGCGTACCACGCTCACCGCCGCCCACCATGGCAGCAGCATCAAGTAATTCAACAAATGGCATCGCAGGTCCAATCATCCTCTTTTTTGGAGCTGAGGTTTCTTCATTAGGTAGACTTAAATTAGCATTATAAGTGTCAACCTCTTCATTTGGCAAACTCAAGTTTGCATTATGGCTATCAGCATCTGGTGACTTTGACTGCTTATTACTCTGCAATGCAGAATTATCAAGATGTTGGTTTTGAAGCTGCGTGTGGGAGTGAATTATTGATCCCACACGTTCAAGTGTAGGACACGCTTTTTATGGCAGTAGAAAGACAAGATCACCATTCTGCTTATGCTTCAAGGAAAGAAACAACTTTAATTTCTCAGGTGCTTGACCAATAACCTTTCAGATAAACCACTTATATCAACAGCTTGTCCATCATCAATCATCTTCAGAAGCTGCTCCAAATCACCAGCTACGGCAGGGAACTCCTTCAAAATCCTGTTGACGACATCCTTAGGATCCTCCCTTGACCTTTCGAGATTGTCGGATTCGGAACCGGTGGCATCAGAAGCCGACTCGTCCGAATCCGAATACCTTCTCCTGATTTCCGACCACTGCTCCTACTGCTTCCATGTTTCCGTTTACTCTGGCGCTTCTTGTCCCTCCTTTTTCTTTCTCTGTCCTTGTCGCCCTTAGAAGAAATCATGCGCCTCTCGTCGCGACGTTGTTCCATGCGGTGAGCGTGGTGCGCGAAGAAGAAGAAGCAAATAACTTTTCAATTTTTTAAACATAAAATGACCGTTTTACCCCTATAAATAAAAAATTTAAAAAGGTTTAATTTTTTCCAGTCACATTTGGCCGGCGTGACCAAAATTGATAAGAATTGTATAGTCAAGGTACTAAATTAACATTTTTGAAAGTCAAGTGTTGCAATTAACACAAGTGTAATAGTTAGTGGACCAAAATTAAAATTTACTCTTAAACTTAATATTATGTACTTAATGTGATCGAATGCATAAAACAATCTAAGGAGTATGAACCAACTAAAGAATATGAATTTAAACAAAATATCCATTTATTCATACTTAACCAAATATGGGCAGTCAGAACTAAAATCATAATTCCAAGAACTAAATGAATTATGGAATTAATGGCAAAAGTCAATTGCCTAGAAAACATGTTTTTCCAAAATTACTAAATTGATTCAAAATCACTCTCCATGACTCAGTTAATAATAATAATAATATTAGTATTAATGGCAAAATTGCAAATAACCAAAATAGCAATAAATAGCCATAATAATATTATCACATTAAGTAGGAGACTAAATATGGAAAAACAGTGGTTAAAACCGCTAACATTTATAAACGTTTTCGGATAAAATTTTGAAAACTTAATAAAATTTGAAGTCCGAAAAATATTAATGTCCAGAAAATTATTTTCTGAACTGGAGTATTGTCACATAAATTTATTTGGAAACAGTTCAAGGTACACATCTGAATACCATAAAAATACTAATGTCATCATTAATCATTAATTATTAATAGTAATAAGTAACATTATAATCACTATTAACATTAATAATAACGACAAAGTAAAGTATGGTAATGCACCTTTAAATGTTTTCCTTTTTCTAAAGATAAAATATGTGACTAGTCTAAATTAGCGGTTTAACTATAACTGTAGCACTAATTATCAAAAATAATCGTAAAAGATAATTAATGGCTAACCTTAATGATGCAAACCGCATCTCTCCATTGCGCTAACAACGATGATGATCCACAAGAGAAGAAAAACTCCAGAATTCTCCCAATCTTCACTATCGGTGTCAATAAACTCGATGCAGCGTCCAATGGTACGTTAAAAAATTTATTGGTAGGACTTAATTACCAACATTAATAGTCATGTAAAATAAAGTGGTAATCATGCCAATGTACCAAATATAGCAGATTACCATTAAATGCTAATTATTATGAAAAGTAATAAAATGAGATTAGCCCCTAAACTTAATAACAGTAATTAATAATGCTAATTAATAATAATTACAATAAAGGCAAAACTGTAATTAAGGGATGCCAAATACTAATCTCAATTTACCACATAATAATTAACCATTACTATTATGATACTTAGGGAGACTGAAGTTAAAGTAATAACCAAATTACCATTATATAGGCAATATACCAACTATATTGCTTTTGCCATAAAATTAAAGACTTAATATTATTATTAAGGCCCTGGAAACTATTGATAGATTAAAAATTAATCAACATAAATAATAGTTTGTAATTCTTAATGGCCAAAATAACAATTAAATCATTAATCCTTAATGTCTCAAAAAGATCAAGACAATAATTATAGCACTTAATTACTCAAATTAGGCTCATAAACCTCAATGGCCCAAGTGAATTATAACATGAATGATAAATGTGATCTAGTACTGAAATAGACCCAAAACTTAATATTATTACCAACGATGAATACCAAAATATGGTAGTTAGTAATAATTATAACTTAATAAGCATGTTATAAGGAGTTATAATTATTATTTAAATATCAATCAAAATAATGACATCCATACTTTAATGACCGAAGATAGGTCTCAAATCGCTTGTTCAAAATAGGTTCTAAAGTCCCTGAGACACATAAAACTAAAATGTGCTCAAAATTAAGAGGAAACTAAACAAGCTGATTTAGTATGTCATAATACCTAAAATTGACCTAAGGATCCAAAATTGAATGATATTTTAATAATGAATTTATGAGTTAATAATATGCTAAATCCAACCTTAATGCATGCTATTATGAATATATAATTATAACAATAATTTATAAATATACGTAGCATGCTTGGATGTGCAAATTAATACATTATTAACCCATATATACTAAATAAATTGCAACACTTGAGGCAATTTAATTTGCACCTTAACATTAAATTAAAATTCAAGTAGCAAATTAAAACTTAATATTTGCCCCAAATTAAATGATAATTTAATAATTAATTAAGGAGGGATTAAACTGAACAATTAAGCTAGAAGAAGTCTAAATATGATAATGGATCAACTAAATCCAGCCCAAAACCAAAATCAGGCCCAAGATTTTTTTTTATATTTTTTTTAGTGTTGGACCAGGTCTGCCCAATGGGCCTGACCCGGCCCAACCCTCATGACCCATCATCATCTTCTTCACGTTAATTAGCCTAAAGCACCTATCTGCCGTGAGAATCAGCAGCGATGAAGCAGTGCCAAATGATAAAACATGGCAGTAGAGAAAAATTAAGAATTTTGAAAATAATTTCAAAACTATGCTTTAGGCTCTTAAGATTAATTAAGAGAGAATCAATACTAATTAATTCACTCAAAACATACATACTAAATTACTTAACTATATCATGACTGAATAGATATATTTTGTATGCATATTTCAACGAATTAATAAATGAAACATATACAAAAACTTGATATATATGAAAGCTTTAACTTAATATTGTTTTAGGCAAAACAATCAACCAGACAGAGATTATAAAGGCTCTGATACCAAATGTTAGATCTAAAATAGTCTAACTATATGAACCATAGTATACGAGAAACCTAACCTCGTATGATAGCGGAAGCGTAGCCGTGTTGATCTCCAGTCATAGTTGATGTTCCTGTTGTGTTGCCTCTTAACGGTAGACCGTCAGCCATGTTTTGTCTCAGACCTGACTCAGAACCCTAGATGGTGTATTGGTATCTACTGAGCAGTCTGAGTACCGTAACTGAATGTGCTATCTAATCCATAATCCTGTATCCCATCAATCCAGGTTTATATTAGGCACAGAGTTTGGTTGACTAACAATTACTAGTTATTAAGTCCAACCAGACCACTTAATAAGCCTAGTCAACTTGCACCACTTAATTAAGGCCCCAATATATAATATATAATATATATTATTAGGGAAAATCTTACATTAAGGGTATATGTACTAATGTAAGCAGTGTTGTGGATATTAAGGCCAGCACAGACAGCTTTGAGGGATTTGGAGACTCCAATATAATGTTTTTGTTTGTTTGCACTCAAGAGTTCTTATGTGTTTCCACGCCCCTTTGAGACCCCGAAAAATGGACAAATTCCTTTTCTTAGGAACACATACAAGATTCGGCACTACAAAAAGGATAATGGTAACCCCACCATTAACTACTTCATTTATGAATTTCATAGTAATAGAAATACATGTCCTGCCGAGACAGAATTTGTAACTTGCTATCCTCTTGCCTAGCAGGCAAAGATTGACCTCCGTGGAAAGGATGATTCATTCGGATCGACATGAGAGGCCAACTACATTGCCAGAATCCATGTTGTATATTTGAAAGAGGTTGACCTCCTTGCTTCTCTCCTGGTACACTTCTCTTCCCGCCGAGCCCCCTTTCTCCTCGGTCCACAGAGACAAAATGTAGGACTGGTGCCAACAGTTATCACTGCTGGCCCCTTTTGAGTAATTTTGTTTTCCAGTTCAAATTGTGAATTATGAGGGCATTCAGATACAGTAAAACTTCAAACAATTGTACAATCATTCACTTGTGCACTTCAAAAGCATATGATTGAAGTAACATGATATAAGTTGTGTAGTTTAAAATTGTAAGTAAAGTCACTATTTAAGGAGGACGAGAGTCGAGAATAGTTCTAAGGGTATGTACTTTCTGCATGTAAAATTTTTATTAGGTCTGGAATGTCACTATTTGATTGGCCGGAGATCTAAAATTAAGGTACAAATTCATATTCGTGGGACCTGCACTATATCTAGGCTAAGCAGCCCTCTACCACTAGCATGTAATTCATACAAGTGCAAATAAGTTTTGGGAGAGTGAAAATGACAACCTAATAAAGAAGCCACACAATCCGCTAAAACCTGGGCTGTCTATAGACACGACTGGTTGACATAGAGATCTTGGAGACTAGTGACTTGGAAGCCTGGATTTTTTGTGTAAATAAGCATGTGTACATATACATATACATATACGTAATACTCCCCTGTCTCATTTTATATGTCCTACTTACTATTCATTGGAAAAACCAATTATTTCTTTTTTGTTTATTTTTTTTAGTATTTTTTACTTATTTTTAAATTTGATTTTTTTACGTTTAATAGTGCTTTTAGTGTAATTTCTAAATATATAAATTTTGCATACTAATACTAAATTTAATATTATGAAAAATTGAATTAAAAATAACTTCAGTCAAACCTTATTAACCAAACCAAACACATAAAATGGGACGGAGGTAGTATGTATTTATGTACATAAATTTCAGTAAACTAAAAATCTTTAACCATGTACGTTATTTATCAGCACCAATACATACCTTTATAACCATGTACATCATTGACAATATTTGATAAACCCAAAAACCACACACATACTTATCTAATCGGCACCTTTACCTTTGACATCAGGGTATAATCATGTATGATGCTAACAGTATCTGATACAACTCCAAAAATATATATACCCTGTGCTGATATCAATCTCATAGAATTTTGCAAAATCTTTATCAACATTATTACTTTTTGCACCAGATGCCCATGTACATTGTTGACCGCACTTGATACAATACTATTGACACCCATGTATAACCATGTATGATGGTAATAGTATCTGATAAAACTTCAAAAGCATACATATCCGGTGCTGATCAATTAACCCCATAGAATTTTGCAAAATCTTTATTGGTCATTCTAATAGGGTATTTAATTTGTCGGTGCATGTATAAAGGGTAAAGGACTAAAAGAGAGGAGGTTTAATATAATGGGTGACCAATATATGTACAACTTTTTACCGTAATAGCCGTGATTGATGGCAATGAATAAGTGATCAGATCTGCAAGATTTCTTAGCCTTCACTCATATTATAAGTTCCAATCCACATTTGGCCAATTTTTGGAGGGCTCATGGCCTTATAGACCCCACAGGTAACCCATTTTTTTTTGCCTTCCAGTCCCTCTCAAATTTCAACTAAATCCTCCATAAATCAAAGCAGATCCACCTTACAAGAAAAAAGTGAAAGTGGTTAATCAATTCCGATCCATTCACCACTTTCTTTCCCCATGCCACCATTTTGATTTTTATATATATTCTTGTCCCAAGCTCACACACAGTAATGTAATATGGACTGGTTTTCTTGGCTCTGCAAAACCGCCTTGGATCCCTCCCTTGTTTATGAGTATGGTTTAGCCTTTGCCCAGAACGAGCTTGAAGAAGACGACATCGCCTACTTCAACCATGAATTCCTGCAAAGCATGGGGATTTCTGTCGCCAAACACAGGCTGGAAATCCTTAAACTTGCCAAGAAAGAGAGGAGGAATGTGGTTCCCATGACGAGGTTTCTGCGCGCAATCAAGCGTACCAAGAAGAGAATTGTTGTGTATGTGCGCACTCTGGTTCGCCGCGAGGACTCGCCTCTGGCCATCGTGCCTGCCAAGAAGGAGAAGAGAAGCCATGGGTCGTCGAGGTTGAAGAGGAACAAGAAGAGGGTGGTGGCGGCCAATAATAATTCCCAGCAGAACACTCCCACGTTGCTGCTCACAAACGGCGGCAGCCCGCAGAGGTTGTTTTCTAGTTCAAGAATCAATAGCTTTTCGGGGAAAATGGTGTATGATCAGAGTGAGCATTGGGCGGAAGAGATAAGATGGGATGCGATGTTTCAGAACATGAAGCCAACATAACTGATGATTGGTGAAGCTAAGGTACATGAATGGATTGTCTGATCTGATCTCATGTGTTGTTCATTTCTTGTATGTATTACTTAACACAGAATTGCATCTTCAATCATGGTAGATTTGAATATATGGTGAGAGAGATTTTTTTTTTTTTTTTTGGGGGTGGGGGGAATATAATTCTTCCACCAGATTGATTATAGGCTCATCTGATCATCTCTGTTTGGGGGAATTAATTTGGAAACAACAACATAGATGAATTAGTAATTAATTTGTTGTATCTCATTCTCTGGGACTCTGTGTGATGATGAAAGTAATTTTTATTTTTAGTTTTTTTTTTTTAATGTTTTGTTTTTAAAGTTTTTACTTTAATTTAAGGAAAAACAAACCGTCATTACCACAATATGTCTTTAGGCAGTGTTGCAAAAATTCCACCCAGACGTTGATTAGCGGCTGGCCGCCTAACGTATCACCATAATCAGTGGTCTAGGTGGTCGGCCGGCTAGGCGGCCTTAGGCTTTGACAGCCTAGGCTACCTAGTCGGCCGATTAGCTAGTGTTCTTTAAAAAAGAAAATGGAGTATTTCATTCAAAACAACATTGTTTCGAGCGAAATAACACTAAATTGTTCACACTCTAAATATTTTTAAGTTAATATTTAATATTTTAGTATTAACTATTAAAATATTAAATAATTTATATTATTAGTCTTAAAAGTTAAAAAATTTTAAATATATTTTTAAAAATAAAATAAAAAATACACGAACACCTAGGCGCTAGGCCCACTCAGACGTCCAAAGAGCGCTAAGCGATTTTTCTACCATGACTTTGGGTGAAACACATCTTATGATTCTAGATAGTAAAAGATCACAACGTAAATCATTATATTTTAATTTATTCATAACTAACTGGTTCAAGTTAAAAAAGTTATTAGACTGATTTCACTAAAAATCAAATTTAAAATTTTACGATTATGGGCATTTGGTTTGGTTTTATTTTTTAAAGTTTTTACTTAGTGGTGGGGTAGGTTGTCAAACCCAATTCAAACTACCAAATGGTGGCATCATTGTCGGTGGAGTAAAAGAGTGAATACTTGGTAGCACTTTCTCTCATTCTATGTATTGCTTTTATGGTTAAAGCATTCTATTGAGGGATTGTTCACAGTTTTTTAAGAAAAAATGTCAATTTTAAAGAGAATGAGAGGAGAGAGAAGGAGTGAATTGCTCTTGCAAATCTTAATTTTTTTCAGAATGTGTGAATTTCATCAAGAGAGAGAAAGAAGTCTGTAGGTCATAAATTTTTTCAGCTTTGATTTTTTCTTTTTCTTTTCTTTTTTTCACACATTCTTTTCTCTCCTCTTTCCTATTTGACACCTAAAAACTTGTGCTAACAACTTATCTATTGAGAGGAAATACTTTATCCCTCCTTTCAAATTCCAACTACGGTTGAACCATATATTGATGAAAGATTTTGAACAATTTTAGTAGGAAAAAACTCAGACCATCCAAAAAAAAAAAAAAAAAAAACTCAGACCGTCGATTATCTATAACGTAGATCTTGCTTTTCATAAGTATCACAATTTTCTTTATAAATATTACATTTATTCACATAAATAACAATCAATCAATTTACCTATGATGAACATTACATTTTTTTTTTCTCATAAGCATTACACTTTTCATCATAAGTAACCATCAATCAATTTATCCCTAATTAATATTATATTTTTCTTTATAAGTAACAATTCATCAACCCCTAAATATTATTTTTGATATAAAAATATGACATTTTCTTTCTAAAGTATCACATTTTTTCCTCATAAGTCTTACACTTTTAATTCCCTCCTAAGTAACAATCAATTTATCCACAATTAGTATCACATTTTTTCTCATAAGTATTACATTTTTTTCCCATAACTAACCATCAATCAATCAATTTATCTCTGATTAGTATTAAAGTTTCCTTCATAAATAAACTTTTCAACACCTAAATATTACATTTTGATTTAAAAATATTACATTTTTTAAAAAGTACTACACCTTTCCTTATAATTATTATATTTTTCATCATAAGTAATAATCAATTTATCCCTAATTAGTATTACACTTTTTATTATAAGTATTGAACTTGTCTCACGGATCCAAGAAAGTCACCCATTTTATTATTATTATTTTTTTATTTTACATTTGACTCATATTTAAAGATTTTGTGACAGAAAAATAGTACTCCTTTAGTTGGTTTCATTATTATTATTTTTTTGGTTGGTTTAATCTCAAATTGTTACCATTCAATTTTGAGTACATTTGATTCATGTTTAAAGATTTTTTGAGTGAAAAATAGTACTCCTTTAGTTGGTTTCATTTATTCTTTTTTTGTTTTGTTAGGGTTTAATCTCAAATTATTACCATTCAATTTTGAGTAATATTTAATTAATTGTTTGTATATAAAATTTATATATTTAGAAATTATTAACATGAAAAGTTAACTTTAAAAATTATGAAAAAAAAAACAATAAAAAATGAACAATGAAAAAAAGAGATTGTTTAACCAGTAAATTGTAGACATAGCAAGCAATATGAGAGTAATTATTTATAATTTTTTTGAATGCTAATTATTTATAATTTAAAATATATCATTTTAATAAATTTTAACAAGTTTATATTCAAGACAATCAGCTCTTATATCATGGACCAAGGTCTACCTTACCAATTGTTATACCGTGCACCACGGCGCATATAGCAATGTGTGCCCCACGTCTTTCAAAAAGATGTCGTTTTATTAAGTTGTGTGGGGAGTTGACGCGACAGGGTGTATGTGTATTCTGGTATACAATTATGTACATTCTTTTATACAATTATGTACATTCTTTTATACAATTATGTGCATCCAAAATAAGAGATTTTTTTTTTAAGAGTTAAGAATTTATGTGTATTATGTTAAGAGTTTATGTGTATTATGTTACGAGTTTATGTGTATTATGTTAAAAGTTTATGTGCATTATGTATTATGTTAGATTATGTGTATTATATTTTCAAAAAAGAGTATGTGTATTCTGTTATACAATTATGCATATTTTGTTATACAATTATGTACATTCTGTTATGCAATTATGTACATTTTCAAAAATGAGATTTTTTTTTATAAAAAGTTAACAACAGACACGGAAAGCAAAATTTTCCAAAAAAAAAAAGTACAAAACGACGTCGTTTTGCACCAGGGCGCACAATGCAATGTGCGCCCTGATGTATGATATAAATTGTCCCACCTTACAATGTGGACCTTGACTCTAAATTGTGTATTTTTAGTATTGAAATTGTAAACATCTAGAAATAAATCGTGTTTTTAAGTTTTAAAAATTTGTGAATACAATACATGATAGTCACAATTATAAATTTTAAAAGATAAATTGTAAACATTTAATATGTAAATTGTGTATCTTTGAACCCGGATCTACTTTAGTTCCATAGAATAATTTGCCCAAGACAATGATTATCTAATTTAGAGTTGTTAAGGGGTCCACCAAAGCCCACATCACCACGAGACGGGCCTAAAATTTGCAAAATCCCCTTAGCCCCACCAAAGCCCACGGGCCTAGCGGGTTGGCCCACCAAATAAAATATGTGTTTATTCAAAAATCTAATTACTACATCATAAATTAGCCAATAGTCTTTTGGATTTAGTCATTTAGCAAAATAAGAAATATAAATATTAATTTTAGGCTCCGTTTGGAAAGTAGGAAAATAACTTCTAGAAAATGAGTCATTTTTTAGAAAATATTTTCTTTTCTGGTGTTTGGTTACACAACGTAAAATACGAAAAAATTAATATTATTTGTATACTTTACATTTTTTTTTTAAACTTTGAATTGAAAAAAAAAAAACTCGTGGATCGGCCCGCGGGGCCCGCCAACCCGCATGGGGGGACTTTGGTGGCAAATTATTGTGTGGATCATGGTCCACACAATGTTATGTGGATCATGGTCCACACAGTGTTATGTGGACCATAACAAAAAGTACATTTTTAATATACTAAATGTACATTATTTTTGTACTGAATATACATTATATAATATAATGTACACTCAGTACATAAATAATGTATATCTCCTGAATACAATGTACATTATTTTTGTACTGAGTATACCTGAAACAAGCAACGGCGGAGCTAGCCCATGAGGTTTTCATCAGAGGATGCTCGAGGTCCAAACTCCAAAGAAGTCCTTGTTGCAGGAGTTTTCTTGCTGCGTTAGCAACGCGCAGGAGTCTCCCGAAGAATTTACCCGACTGGTGATTGGGGAAGAGGAGACAACCTTAATAGAAGAGCCGCCTGGGGAGTACGTTCGCACGAATGAAACTCAAAGGAATTGACGGGGACACAATAATGATTGGACTTTGGTTGCATGAACCCTAGCTTGCGGGTTTGGTGGGCCGACTCGCAAAAGCCCGCAAAAAATTAGGCCCAAAAAATTTTGCATGTGCATTCCTTGAAAAATGACTTCTCACAAAAAAAAGGAAGTCATTTTCCCTCAAAACATATCTATTTTCGTTTGACTAATGTATCATTTTCCATTAACTTCATTTTCCCCTTCTTGCCAAAATCTAAAACTCGAAAAACATGCAAAAGTTATTTTCTGAATTTCCAAACTCACCCTTATATTTAAAGAATAAATAAATTGGTAGGCCAAGCCCTTATTATCTTAATCATTATTGTGTGGACCATGGTCCACACAAGTTTTCTGGACCATATTTTGTATACTGTAAAATAATGTATATTCAGTACAAAAATAATGTACATTATATTTATGGGATGTACATTATTTTTGTTCTGAGTGTACATTATATTATATAATGTACATTCAGTACAAAAATAATGTACATTTAGTATATTAATTTATTTTTTTTATTATTATGGTCCACATAACATTGTGTGGACCATGGGATTAGAATAGTGATTCAGCATTCAACTCAACAGATAATCATTACAATAATAAAAGAGGTTTAGAAGACGTAAACCTCTCCTAACTATTAGGCTCTACTAAACTACCTATCTAGGACCACACAATTAATAACATATTATAAAGCCAAATAATATAACATTATTGTCACGATTGCCACGATTGCCGCGACCACCACCGGAGTTGCCGCGACGCCCTCCATTGCCACCCCCTGACTGGTTGCTGCCCTGCGCAACGTACAGTGCTGCAAGCGATCCGCCACCACTGAGACCAGGTGCAAGGTCATCCGCCGCGATAAATTCCTGTGCTTGCAGAAAATCAGCGAGCTGAGGTAGCGTAACCAGATTGCCGGAAACTGTCAGGGAGGCCGCCATGCTTCTGAACTCTGGCCGTAAACCTCGGAATACCCAGAGATTTTGCTCGTCTAACGAAAGAGGACGACCGGCGAGCGAGAGAGCTTCTACAATTAGCTGGGCTTGGTCGATGTAGTCTGCCGGGGAAAGATTGCCTTACCGTAATGATTGAAACTGCCCAAGTAAATTTAGGCAACGCGCTCTCGAACTGGATCCTAGTGCAGCAGTGATTGAATCCCAGACTTCTTTTGACGTGTTGCGTCCGACGGCAAGGTGAAGCACCTCGTCTGCCATGGAGGAAACCAAGAGCGATAGAATGGACGCATCTTGCCTTACCCACGTATGGAACTCAGGATTCGGCACACTGGCGGAGGTGGCTGCACCGGAAGCGGACGATTCTGCCGGTGGACTTGCGATGGTTGGCGACGGGCAGGGGGTTTCGCCGGTGACAAACCCGAGTAGTTCTTGGCCCCGTAAGAATGGAACCAATTGTGTACGCCAGAATAAAAAATTCTGGGACGTGAGCTTGATCGACACAAAATGGTGTGCCGAGGAGAGAGGGTTTGCCGTGGTGGCCGGACTTGGGACGGAGGTGGTGATTTGTTCTTTCCGACGAGTTCGTCGACATTTTTGGGGAGAGGGAGAGAAAGAAGGAGGATCTAACGTAAGGCTAACTGATACCAGATTAGAATAGTGATTCAGCATTCAACTCAACAGATAATCATTACAATAATAAAAGAGGTTTAGAAGACGTAAACCTCTCCTAACTATTAGGCTCTACTAAACTACCTATCTAGGACCACCCAATTAATAACATATTATAAAGCCAAATAATATAACATTATTGACACATGGTCCATACAATAATTTGCCTTATTATCTCACCTCTTGGCAGGCTTATAAAATTCAAATTCAAACTCTACTTTAATAGATGGAGAGCTAAGTTGAGCTGACAAATCGACAACTCTAATCTAATGGGCCGTTTGGTTCACGGAATCAATTTGGAAGGAATAGAAATGCTATTCCATAGGGAATGTAATAGGTAAGGAATAGAATAGAAATTGTATTATGTTGTTTGGTTCGCTGATGGAATAGACTTTAGTAATTGTATTCCAACATTTGGTTGGTTAAGGAATAGAAATGGAATATGAGTTTAAAAGACATAAATACCCCTTTACAAAAAAATGTATTATTATTATTATTATTATTATTATTATTATTATTATTGTTATTGTTATTGTTATTGTTATTGTTATTGTTATTGTTATTGTTATTGTTGTTATTATTATTATTATTATTATTATTATTATTATTATTATTATTATTATTATTATTATTACTACATATGTTTTTAAATAATGTTATTCTATAGCAACTACAATATTGTATAAAAATTAACATATATATATACACAAATATTATTGATAAGTGAAAGAACAACTGAATTTGAAAGTATCAGGGAGTTTTGTTCAAGATAAGAGATTATCCTTGATTCAAGGAGTCTTTCTACAACAACTTGTCAGATAATTAAGAGTCCTGATGTGATTAGTTCAAGCAGACAAAGAATTACAAGTGATTAATTTATCTATCTCTCTCACGCCATTTTACATAATTATCTCTAAAAGCATGAGAATTAATTTGTTTAATCATTCTATCATTGTTAGTGATCAAAAAATATATATATTAGAGATGTTGTCGTGTGCTGTAGCTGATAGGCTTCAAACTGGCATGGGAGGGGCTTTTGGCAAGCCGCAGGGTGTTTGTGCTCGTGTTGCCATTGGGTAGGTTCTTTTGTCTGTGCGCTGCAAGGATGCCAATGGCAACAATGCCCAGGAGGCCTTGCGCTGTGCTAAGTTCAAGTTCCCCGGGTCAATGCTAATCGTAAACCTGGAAGAGCTTTTTTACCAGCAACAGCATAAACAATATATACAACTACAAGAGGCCCTGCCCTACCTACTTATGAAATGTACTGAGGATACTTTGGTTTTTAATTTTGTTGTTTAAGAACATGGATTACTTACTATGAATATTCAGTATTAAATATCAATAATAATTAATTTTTAAAAAATAAAATTCAGAAAATTACCTATGTTTGAAGCTTTAATTTGATGTTGATGTAGGTAGATGATAGAAAGAATTGCAAAGATTGATGCAGAATGGTCGGAAGAAATTGTTTGATTAATGCTGATGATGAAAAGAAAGGAATCGTAGATGGGGGAGAGAAAATGATAAAGGTTAAAATTGAAAAAAAAAAAATTCTATTCCTGAGGACTCAAGAATAAGTTAATACCAGGGGGGCCCCTGGTAATAGCTATTACCTTATTTGAGGTAATAGGCTATTACTAAGAATATTAAGCCTGGTAATAACTAGGACTATGTGGTCTAATGGTACCCGGGTTGGACTTCCATTTGGAAGATTATGAGTTCACAAGCCTCAGGCGTTATTGGTTCTTTGTGTTTCAGTAGGTTGAGAAAGTGGCTTATTACTGAGAATGCTATGCCATTTCCGGCCTATTCTGTGAACCAAACGGGCCGTAATAGTTACTAGCTGAATGCAAATTACATTTCATTTCTTAGCCCGTAATACTGTATTTATTTTTTTTTTTTGTTTTTAATGCAACACACTATAAGCAACACACAGAAAATTAAATATAATTGAAAAATAAAATATAGTTTACAAAATTAACCCAACAATACATTTTAATTAAGTTGAATTTATTTAATTTTGAGAATGATTTTTTTTGCTATATAAACAACATCACATGGTTGTTGCAATATGAACAATATCACATGGTACGATATTATTATAGAGTTATACTTTGAAAAAGAAAAGAGTACTAAATGTAATTATTACTTCACCGCTAGTCTTTGAAGGTTTAGAAGTTGTTTGAAGGAAGTATTTTTTGAAGAATCACTCTAAAATTTCTTTTTATTTTTTATTGTATTTTTATCTCAAAATTTGATAATGCTTTTTACTAATAAAATTGATTTGACTATTTCTTTCTTTAATTTACTGAATCATTTTAACTCAGTAATATTATTGTTGGATCCTGAAGTGAAAAATGTGGGAAAAATAATCATTTTCCTTTTCTCAATGTAGAATTGAATTTTGAGACAACAATACATGTGATGAATGGAAAAGGTGTGGGGTTTGGGTTTTTTTTTTTTTTTTTTTTTTTTTTTTTGGGGGGGGGGGGGGGGGGGAGTGGGGTCGGGGTGGGGAGCGCAGGTCCCTTCTTCTAGTTTGTAACAATATATATATATTTTTTGAAAAGTCAATCTGTCGATTGTATTAATCAATGAAAGCCATAATAGCATCAGGCAGGATAGAATCTCAATACATAGAATGTTCCTGAGTAAAAGCTAACGAAGCTAAAGTATGAACATGTAAATTAATCTGTCTAGGCACATAGCTTAACGAAACAGAATTAAATAAAGACATCATTGTTCTGCACTGATGAATTATTAAACCCGCATACGAGTGGATGGGTATAGTCTGGTGGTGAATGGTGGTACGTAATACCATACAATCCGTGAGCATACTGGCCGAATTGATACTTCTTTCTACTAACCAGGACAGTGCCTCTTTAAACGCCATAGCCTCCGCCATGAGTGGTGAAAAACAAGAGGGTGGTTTTCCATTCTTTGCTGCCACAAACGAGCCTCCGGGCTCTAATAACACAATCCCACACGTAGCCTCCCCGGTTTCCTGCCGATATCCCGCATCTATATAGCATCGCATGTGATTATCAGGCAAGCCCAGTTCGGACTGTGGCTGTTCTCCTCCTTGCTTGGCTCGACCGTGCACCACACCATATGTTTCGAGCAAAACCGCCACCCCCTTCACAATAGTCTGCGGCCGTGCCATGGCCCCTTTCCACACGCGGCCTCTCCAAATATTGTAGAAAACACCCACCAACAGCTGTGTTTGCTCCTCCGTTAAAATTTCCATAGCCCCAGCTAACCATGCTGCAAACGAATCTGTAACAATATTTGTGATAGGTAATTGTGTTATATTCCAAACTAATACAGAATATTCACAATATACTAACGCATGCAACACATCTTCATTAGTCATCATGCACATAGGACAAACCGGGTCAATCTCCACCCTCTTATTAATTAAATTCGTGGTAGTGGGTAAAATATCACATACTGCTCTCCATAAAAAAGTCTTCCACTTTGGTGGTACTTTCAATTTCCACATCCTAACCCATTTATCAAAATCACCTGGGTTATTCTCATAATCACCAATAATACGCCTGTAGGCATTCTTTACTGAATAAATTCCTTTTGGGTCACCCATCCAGTACCATGAGTCATCATAATCAGGACTAACAGGAATTCTAACTATTCTGCTCACATCCTCTGGGATAAATAAATCAGATAATATATGTGGATCCCATGTTCGTGTTTGTGGGTCTATCAAACCTGCTGCCCGTGCTTCTCTTAACTCTTCAGGCATAATTGTTTGTACCAAGGGGCTTGGATTATCTTGGAGCCATGGGTGTCCCCAAATCAGAGTTGTCTCACCATTTCCAATCCTGCGCCTTATCCCAGCTACCACTATTCGATGTGCTGCCATTATACTTCTCCAACAAAAACTTGGGCAATTACCAATAGTAGCATCCACAAAACTAGAAGTGGGGTAATACCTGGCTTTATATATTCTTGCCACCAGGGACCCTGGGTTTGTAAAAAAACGCCACGCCTGCTTGCCCAACATAGCTAGATTAAAAGCTCTCAACTCCTTGAACCCCAGACCACCAAATTTCTTGGGGATACATAATTTATCCCATGCCTTCCAATGTATCCCCTATCCTTCCCACTTCCCCACCAGTATCTATTCATGGCTCTCTCAATGGATTGGCAAACTGTTTCAGGCAACAAAAAAACACTCATTGAAAAAGTTGGCATAGATTGAGCCACACTTTTCAATAAGACCTCCTTACCAGCCTGAGACAATAACTTTGTGCTCCATGATCCAATCCTCTGCCTGATCTTTTCCTCCACATAGGAAAAAACTGCTCTTTTATTCCTGCCCACAAATGATGGGAGACCCAGATATTTCCCAAAATTATCTGCCTGCACTACCTCGAGACAGCTTGCCACCTGCGTTCTAGCCATATGTTGGGTATTCCGGCTAAAACATATATTTGACTTGTTATAATTCACCACCTGTCCAGAAAGCATCTCGTACCTCTCCAAACATTTTTTAATCACATTAGCCTCGTGAATATTTGCTTTAAAGAAAAGTAGACTATCATCCGCAAAGAATAAATGGGACACTGGAGGAGCACCCCTGGCCACTCTACATCCATGAATAGAACCTGTTATTTGTTCCCTCTGCAATAACATCGAAAGTGCCTCAGCACAGATAATAAATAAGTAAGGGGAAAGAGGATCTCCCTGCCTGAGGCCACGAGTCGGTTTGACACACCCACCCACCTCCCCATTCACCATCACCGTATAGCTCACCGTTGTCACACACAACATTATTAGTTTGACCCATTTATCACCAAACCCCAGCGCCCTCATCATTTTTTCCAAAAAATTCCACTCCATCTTGTCATATGCTTTAGACATATCCAATTTCAGTGCACTCCAGCCTACTACACCACACTGTTTCCTGTTCAAGTAGTGACCCACCTCCGCTGCCACCAAGATATTATCTGTAATTAATCTGTCAGGAATAAATGCACTTTGTGATTCCGAGATAATATCACCCATCAAATTTTTCATTCTGTTTGCCAACATTTTTGCCATTATTCTATAAATGACATTGCTCAACGCAATCGGTCTCAACTCTGCAACAGTCTCCGGGACCTCCTTCTTAGGAATCAAAACTATGTTAGTATCATTCAGGCCCTCTGGGAATATTCCAAAGTTCAAAGCATGCAGAATAAAACTAGACACATCTTCACCCACAATAGACCAAAAATGCTGATAAAAACCCGGATTCATTCCATCCGGGCCTGGTGCTTTATCCGGGTACATAGCAAACAACGCTATTTTTACCTCTTCTTTCGTAAAAGGCTGATTCAACATCTCATTATTCTCATTCGACACACGGGGGGCAAAATCATTAAAAAGGGGATCATCGCAGCTCATATTATTAGAAGTAAATATGCTGTTAAAGTACTCCAATACCACCGAATGCATATCAGTACCCTCCACCCATTGACCATCATCATTTTTAAGACTAGCAATAAAATTCTTCTTTCTACGGGCAGAAGCATACCTGTGATAGAACTTCGTATTGGTATCCGCACCCCGTAGCCAGTGCTGCTTCGCACGCTGCCTCCAAAATACATCCTCCTGGGCCTCCAACTGCTTTAATTGATTCTCATTGCGTTGAAACTCGGCCAAAGCGACCGGATCCGTTACATCATGGAATCTCTCTTGCTGTCTCCGCAACTGCCCAACGCGTTGGCCAAATTTATGAAACTGGTCCCCTCCCCACCGCATCAGTTTCTTACCACAAACCTGCTGACAGTGCAACAAACCCTCCGGCCTTCCTTCCTGCCAGGCTGTCTCCACCGCCTCCTTGCACCCCTAATCCAATAGCCACGCATTTTCAAACCTGAACCTCCTCGGCCCTCTTACCCTGCGCATGGTGATTGCATTTACACAGAGAAACAAAGCCGAGTGATCTGATTTTCTAGTCTGCAGATTCTCCACCCAAGCATTCTCATTCATATTCCCCCATTCATCCGTAACAAGCACCTTATCCAGCCTCTCTTGTATCCAATTCACCGTTCCTTTACTCTTATCCCATGTGAACTGGCAGCCCCACATCGGCATCTGCACTAGCCCACACTCATCAACAGTTTCCCCAAACCCACGCAGGAGGCTGTTTGGATATGGATTCCCCCCCCCCCTCCCCCCCCCCCCCCCCCTCTCTTTTCATGCTGATAGAGAAGATTATTAAAATCCCCTATCACCACCCAAGGTAACCCAGATCTACTCCTCAACCCTCTCAGTAGCTCCCAGGTTTCCTCCCTTCTACTTCGATCCGGACAACCATACAGACATGTCATTCGCCATACCTTGCCCGTCATACTCACCTCAATATCAATATGGTTTGGTGAATAACTCAACAACCTGGCCGTGTTGTTCTTTCTCCATAGTAGTGCCATACCCCCACTCAACCCTTCATTATCCACATAGAACAACCCCTCGTAGCCAAGCCTTACACGGACTCTCTCCGCCTGACTCCTATCCACATTGGTTTCCATCAAGAACACAAACTCTGGCTTCTTACGGGACACCATGTCCACAACTTCTCGAACTGTGCGTGGATTGCCCAAGCCACGATAGTTCCAGCTTAACGTACTCATGGTGACGGGCGGGGCTGGACTCCAGCTCCCGCCATTGGCAAGTTTTTTGAAACATCTGTCACCACTCCCTCCTCCACTCCACCATCCTCCCCACTCCCCGTACCCTGTCTACGACGCTTTGCCGTAGCCACCACCACCTCATCCTCAGACATACTCGTGGGCGTTACTCCCACACTTCTCCTCTCCCCTTCGACCGCCCCAATCCTCTGTGGCTTCACCAATGGACGTGGTTTCCCACCGACCGGCACGAGCCAGCTATCCCCAACCGCTCTAGGAGCGCTCCGGGACCCACCAGCCCGCATATCCGGACCGTACAAATACCTATCCACTGGCACCCCCGCCTCCCTAGCTTGTAGGCAAAACGTATGCAAGTGACCCATATAACCACAAAAATAGCAAAACTTATGCAGCCGCTCATACCTGAAATTAACCCAAGTTGTAGTCCTGTCTCTCTTCATCAATCTCATTCTCCTCCTCAGTGGCCTATCAACCGGTATTGACACCCGTATACGATGAAAAGTTAACCATGGTGCCCCCTCAAAACGCTCATCATGCTTAACAAAAGAGCCCAAAAAATTCCCTGCCTGTTCCAGAATCGCATGAGATGTGTACCCCTTAGGCATGTCGTGCAGCTGTACCCACATATTGTTAGGAATATATTGTATAAGTTTTGATGAGTCAAATGTATTTTGTAGACCCCAATTTTATTATATTTGAGTCAGTTCTGGTTCACAAAGTATAGTGCACCACTGCCATGAAGCCTACATGAAGTCTACGTGAAAGCAGTTTGAAGGAAGAATAAATGAAAGCGGGATCATAGCTTAACACATTTATGAAGCATCAAGTCACCAAAGGTTGAGATGGACGAGATGGTAGAAGACTTGTTAAAGCATTTGCATAATGCAAAATGATCCATAGTTTGATTCTCATTGAGAGTAATTTTGGTGTAAAGATGAATTGCTATCGTGAAGTAGCAATATCAGGAGATGATGTCACAAGAAAATATCAGGCAATACTATCATGAAAGAACAATTTTATATCGTGATAGGTATAATTATCGGGTGATGACATCACAGTGTGGTAAGGCTAGTGGAGAACACGTGGAAGAGACAAGACAAAAGAATTTAAGTCTTGGATTATATCAATTGGATACCTAGTCGAGATGGAAGAAGCCTTGCCAAGTAAAGTAAATGGTTCACAGTTTGATTCCCACTTGAAGCAATTTCATGAAAGCATGATATTGGTCCATGATATACAATGGAACGTGATATCCATGATACAAGGTGGAACATGATAGCTAGCTCATGATATGAAATGGAACATGATATATTTAGTCCATCATACAAGGTGGAACATGATACACTATTGGAACATGATATCATGATAGAATTAGACAGAAACATTATTTTGAAGCTCTGTTTCTGCAGAAGAAGTCGAAGGAGAAGAAGAAGCTGATATACGAATGAAATATTTTTAATACTCAAGCAAGAATCAATAGATAAATTATTTGATCAACTTGGCACATCAGATCAATAATTCAACAAAAGTCATGCCAGAGAAATTCAAATTTGGAGGCTACCCATTCCAAAGAAAAGCTTTGTCAGATTAAAGGAGAGCAACAGCGAGATTTCTCAAAATCTTCTGACAGACGGCGAAATGACTTTGCAGATCAAGTTGGCAATTATTTGATCAACTACAATTCAAAATGGACGATCGAGATCGAAAGTTGATCAACGGGCAAATAGCTTTCATCTGCTATAAAATGCCCAAGCAGACTTGAAGAGAAGTACGACTTGCATAACTTGAATACGGCTAAAAAACAAAGAGAAAAACAAGCAATATTCAAATCAGCCAAGAAGCAATATATTGAGCTATACACGATTAAATTCAAGTCTGAGTGAGAGAAAAATTGTACTTCATTGTAAATCTTCTACTGAGTGTAGAAAAGGGGTAGAGTAACTAGGGAGAGTGAAAAACCCAGTTGGAGTGTAGCTTTGTGCGTAACACTCGGTTGTAACGGGCAGAGTAACAAGGGGAGCTTGTGAAAACCCGGTGAGAGCGTAGCTTTGTGCGTAGTTCTCGTGGTGTAGGAGTGCAGCTTGGTGCGAAGTACTCGGGAAGGCGGAGTAACAAGAGGAGCTTGCGAAAAACCTTGGTGGAGTGTAGCTTTGTGCGAAGCACTCGGAGAAGTGTCGCTGGGCACTTATTCACTATTGTATCTGGGTGATCGAAGAATAGTGAATTTCCTCCTTGGAGTGAAAGGAGAAGAGTGGACTAGGAGGATTACACCACCTCTGAACCACTATAAATCTCTCTCTCTATTTACTTACTGCTCATATATATTTTGTGCATGCTTATATTATCTGTGAACTAACCGGTTACGGTTTATTGCGTATCTTTATCTGTCTGGGTTTGATAGTTCCCTCGTTTGCATGCAAGTGAAATTTTATATACATCATCCTACATCTATATCAAGTGTTTCTAACGTGATGCATGTATAAAATCTCTCTTGAGCACGACACAATTTAAAGCATAACACTTTGCCGTTACAATTCTGCTGTGCAAACTCTAAGTTGTTATACTTATTTATGCTTGTTACTTAGAGTTGAAGTTACAAAGTGTTGTTTGCAGAAGAAGTTTGAAAAAGTTAGAGAAGTCTATTCACCCCCCCTCTAGACTTCTCGCCACCCTTTCGGGACCAACAGGTGGTATCAGAGCGGTTGTCTATTTGAGTCATTTCTTGACTGCTAGGCAGATCTCGAAAACTTCAAAATGAAGAGAGATATGGTTCTTGCTCAAAATTTGCTTTTCTCACTTGATAAATTTGATGATTGGAAAATACGTATGCAGGTGCACTTATCTGCTTTAAATGATGAAATGTGGGAAGTCATCACAAATGGTCCTATCCAAATTATGAAAGCTAATACCGCTA